GGTGGTATTTCAAGTACCTGTAATCAGACACGTCATTCGGATTAGGCTAAAGGAAGGGTTTTGGTTAAAGTTGGTGTTTTGCCAACTGGCTCACCCCCTTGCTCAGGCTAATCCCAGTGTCACAGAGAGACCAGACCTCCAGAGCTTATTGGGATGACAGGACGGGCAGGGTACGGGAGGACAGTCAGTGGCTGGTAAGCTCACTTGGGCCTGAGGAGCTAAAACTTGTCATTACATTAAAAAAGTCCATATATATTCCTTGCAAGTCAAAGGTCTCTTTGGGCTGCCATTCTGCATGTCCACATCAGGTGTTTCAGGGCAAAGTCGTGATGAAATCAAGTCTATCTACACTGTTGATCAAGCTTGGAGCCAAGCCCAGTGCTGAGGGAGATAACCCCACTGTAAAGCAGGTAATAAACACTGGCCCTATCCTGAGCATCCTCATGCACTACCACCGTCGTGGCCCCAGGCTCATTCTCTCCATGGCTTTGACCTACCTTGGTACGGGCAAAGTTGAGCACACCACGTCTCTGCCTGTCCACGGGTGTCTTCCTGGTCACAGCAGAGGCTTTGTACAGGCAGCAGCAGGGACAAAAACACACAAGTCTGGGAGGTCAGACTTGTTCTTCATCTCAATACCTGGGTGTGACTGCAGAAGTCAATAGACAACGTTACTAGAGACACTTCCTTTGTCTTCTTCCATCCGTGATGCTCTGCCCATAATCAAATGCAAGTTATGTTTTTCACACCATAATTGCCCAGTAGGAGAAAATTGCCTTTAATTGCCTAAAAAAAAAAATGCATTTATTTTCTTCAGCTGATGTTCACCAGAGGCAACAAGGACTCACCAGCACCCTGTCTCTGCTCCATCAATTTGCTGCTGCAGCTCTGGTGATGGAGCAGCCCAAGACCTCACAGCGACAGTACAGCAGGCAGGAGAGTTTCCCAGGTCAGAAGCATTTGTAAAGGGCTAAGCAAACACTCCAGGGTAGGGACAGAACCTGTAGATTTCAAACTGGATCAGCAGGAGCTTGACACAGCAGTGACCACGTTCTGCAGCAGCGCTCAATGCCAGGAAGCTGGATCAGTGTCACCTATGGGAATGGTGTCTCGTTTAGACACCCTCCATCCCTCCCACCCCTTCACTTTCCTTGTGCTGTTGTTAATGTTTTTTCTCCTCCAGCTGGGTGAGGATGCAAGGGACACACAAGGGAGGTTGGAAGCTCACAGCAGCTGCTCAAGAAGCTCAGCCCCACTCAGCTGGCAGAGACCAGGGAAAGGGAAAATTCCTCTGGCCTCCCAGCTTCACCTCCCAGCTACTTCCCAGACCAAATCCCTTCAAGGAAGAGTGCCAGATTCAACAAAACACATGGCTTTTGTGCTGAACATGTGCAGATTGGCACACTCAAAGGACTCGGGGCAGGACTTAGACACGCCGCTGAAGCAGTTAGGTAGAAAAACTTGGAGCTGGAATTAAGACCCAAAGGAAAGGAGGGGGAACAACCAGCTCCTCTCTGGTCCTTGAGTAAGTTGGGTGCATGACCAGCACAGAAAAGCTCCTTGGGGAGGTCCTCAGTGACAAACGTGGGACCAGAAGGCACGGTCTCTGCTGTGCCCATCTCCAGATGGGTGCACATCACCACCACCACCCCAGGACCAGAAGGATGCTCAGATCACAGCAGTTTAACATGGCATTCAGTGGAGAAGCATGAAGGTGGCATTGGAGCAGCTCCTGACAAGTCCAAAGGGCTGGGATAACAAGTTGCTGTCTGCCAATGCATGTGGTGCAAGGGTGATCGCTGAACAGAGAGCACATCTGCTCAGAAATTATCCTGGCATGCTTCTGGGTCGCCCTGCAAATTTCATCAACCATCCATCACAAAATGCTGTGGGGGTTAGGGGAGGTGACCACTCTACAAGGGGTTAATCTCGACAAGGAGTCAGCCAAATAGGAAAGGTTAAAAGCAGCTGGGAAATTCTGCTGGCCCTGAAAAATATTCACATTAACAAGGTACAGTCAGTGACCATCTCAATCAATCTATTTCAGCATCATTCTCCCCTTCTTCTGTGCTTTCTCCACCAGACCATGCCTTTAAATTGCAATCTATATGGTATGGTATGGTACATAAGCCCTTACAGTGTCACTAACACACAGTTACTGTGGTCCAAGCAACACCCAGACACCATAGTCCTCATCTTTCTTAGTGACTCATGAGGCCACCACCCGGATTCAGGGCAGACAGAGGAGGCAAAGTCCAGGGAGCAAAGGCTGCTGTTGGCCTTCAAACCCCCAGGGCTGCTAATGATGGACAAGAACAGCCATGAAGGTGACGGAGACATGAGATGCTCCCCTTCAGCTGCCAAAGAGCACGCCATGAACATTGGCAGGGTGGGCAGATGTCTCCCTGTCCTTGGCTGAAAAAATGTCACTGGCCTATAGTCAGTTGCTACTTACTTGTATTCACAGGTTCCTCCAGTTTTTATTTACAGATTCTTTTTATTTAAATGGGTTCATCCATTTTCTGAATGGGAAAACCCACAAATTCCTATTCTCTTCTCTTTCTCCAGGTTCCATGCATTTTCATAGCACAAGAAAGCACCAGAGACCAGAGAGTCTCTGGGACCAGATCTGTGATTGTTTCTTCTGTACAAGAACTGAGGGAAGATACTAGTAAAGTAGCCTAAAAATCCTGTCATTATCCTCACTGTCATTTTGCCCTTAAAAAAGATTTACCAAGAAGAAAACCAGAATTTGATGAATGTGGAAGGCATCCTGGTTTTGGTGTTGGACCAGAAGCATATATCCTTACAGAGATCTTAGACACTATGTAAACACAGAACTGGGGAAAAAAGGTCACAGATAACAAGGTCTGTGGGTCACATACCCCAAGGATGGGGGTTTTTTTACAATATTTTCTGGCTGTTTCAAGTAATTTGCAAACATTTTCAGCTATACTTTTTCAAATCTGCATTTACAAACACTAAAACGCTTCTTTGCAAGTAGCTATCTCATGGTCTAAAAATAAGATCAGTTTAGAGATAAAATCTGAAGGATTCACACTTCTGTATTGATTTGCCACATATTTGTCTAGAAGATGCTGGGGCAAAACATCAGAGAGGGAGAGGTTGATACCAAGCGTTAAGCACAGCTGCTGTTCTTTACATTAATCACTTATGCTTCACTGTAACACATGTTTTTAGCATGGATTTCACTTCAATCTTTTACTTCGATCCACTCGGTCCCACTGTGCCACGAGTGGTGAAATGCTTAAAGACAGTCACAACACCAAAATGTTTACATCACAAAGACATAACATCAGTATATGGAGGAAAATGAGGAAGGTACAAGAAGAAAAGGGATGGGATAAGGATGGAGGTCTCTTATTCACTGTTTCCCACCCCTCATACCCTCCGGTTTCTCTCCTGACAATGGCACGTGTTACTTTTAACAGCTGTCAAGGACAGTCTGCAAAGTAGTGAGAGAACTGGGCCCTGGTTTTCCTGCTCTGTGCATAGGGACTGAGTAGGGGTCCAAGTCATTAGTTGAAATAACACCACCCTCTGCTGATTAGCAACAGGTCTGAGACACTGTAAATAATCATAAAATGGTTTGGGTTGGTAGGAACCTTAAAGATCATTGAGATCTAATCCCCCTGCCATGGGCAGGGACACCTCCCAGTAGACCAGGTTGCTCAGTCACTAGGTTCTCTTAGAGCTTCCTCCAAAAAGTCTGGGATAACAGAACTCCCTCCCTCCCTAACTTTGGCTGGAACAAAGAAAGGCTTCAGAGAGCAATGAACAGGCTTAAAGCTACTGAATCTCCAAGTCCCTCCTCTGGGAGGTATTTTACAGCAAATTATGAAGGGCACACACCTGGGGAGTTTCAGGAGAAGAGGTGAGGAGCAATGGGGAGCCCTGGCATGGCTGCTGGGGGAAGGTGCTGTCTCCTGGCACAACGAAACTGGCAGTAGCTGCTCAACAGCAGCATCTTATCCTGGCTCTGGGAGCCCTCCATTGGCTGCACACCCCTCGCTGCCGGCCAGAAGAACCCTGTGGGGGCTGCTGTCCCCCTCCCCAAACAGTACAACAGGCAGCAGGACCCTACAGAAGAGGAGCTGCCAAGATGAGAAGAGAGATCTGGATGGACATCATCAGCCCTTCCTCCAGCTGAAGCAAAAGCAGCAAACCTCAGGCTGAGCCTCGACAGGGAATGGACACCCCGAGGTTAAACTTAACATCACAGGGGTGCTGTATAGGAGATGGCTTGGAGAGGAGCATGGTCACCTCTCCACAAGCCCTGAGCTCCACAGATTAGCAGACTGCAGGGCAAGGTTGCTAAAGCTAAACCCAGGTGGAAAGAGCGAGCATTTAAGCAGGGATTCTGGGCAAAACCTGGAGCTCAGCTGACAACAAGGAGGAGAACAGCTCATAACTTGTCAGGGACATGGAGACCAGGGAGAGCCAGGGGACACCAGAGCACTCTTCCACCACTGAACCTTGGCACAAGTGCTCAGATTATTTCAAAAGAAGAAAAAAAAATCAAAGTTTGTGGGTTTGGTGTTGTGGATTTTCTTTTACACCTAGGGATGACAAGAAGGGATAAAGCACAGGTGGTTTGCAGTCTCCAGGTCCAGGAGGAGGAACTGCCTCAACCCACCTCCTTTGGCAGATTGCAAGAACTTCCTCCAGAACACTTGAAAACCAGTCCCTTTTGCCCCATTGCAGAGATGGAGTAGGTGTTTGCAGCCCCAGTCCCCTGCCTTCAGAGGAAAAAGGGTAATGCCTGATTCCCTCTGTTGCATTTTTCACATGACTGACCACAAAACTAATATCTGACTCCAGAGATGGTTCAGCCAAACGACTCATTCCCTCCAAGGAGAGGAAAACCACAACTTCTTCCATCCCTGGAAAAACCTTCTGTGCCTGCGCGTCCAGCAGCTCAGAGGTAGTAAGGACAGTTCTGGTTTGCTGATACACCTCACTGGAGAACAACAACCAGCATGAGAGAGTTTGGCTTCTTTCTTCTGTGCCTCCTCCGCATCTCCAGGAAGGGTGAGTTCTGAGCTTGCTACAAATCCTGGTCCAATCAGGGCTTTTCTTCTCACTCTAATCACCAGGGAAGTGCCTGGTATGATGAACTCTCCAAGAACTGCACCATCCATTGCATTGCTTAAAAGAATCACGAAATTCCAGGTGCATGTGGGAATATTGGGAAAAAAAAACTCAAAGGCTTAACTCTGCAATCATCAGAAACCTTTGGTTTGATGTCTTTTTGCATTTTTTGCTTTTTTAATTTGTACAGGGAGTTCTTCATCTAACTTTTCCCCTGCATTGTGAGTAGCATGTTCCATGTTCCTAGGAGTTATTGTGCAATGGACGCAATTTACTCCCATTCCACTACACAATTTAGCTCATGTTTGACTTCCAGTATGCACTTAAGTTCCACTAAACCCAATGCATTTGCTTAGATATACTGTCAAATAGTGTTTGCTAGAGCAAGGTTGGTGTCTGGGGTGGTCTCCAGCTCTTGGTCTTGTTACTGTGTTCACAACCTCAAACAATTTCCCTGTCAACCAGCAGAACCACTCACCTGAAAGCTCCTTCCACACCTGGTGTAAGGTGTGCAGGATATTTGCCTGTGACCTTCAATCCCAGGAACGAATGGAGGTTGGATATCAGCAAGAGGAAGCCCTCGAAAACCTATAAGGTTAAAGTTAAATTATACACAAGATGCTGAAAACTCCCTCCACTCATAACCGAGGCAAACAGCATTCCCATAGAAATGGGTGGAGCTGATGGAATGAGAAACACTTATTTTTAACACTATTTCGCATGTGGAAAGCAATGGGGATATTTACGTGCTAAAAATAATGTTCTTTGCTTAAGATTAAAAAAAAAAAAAAAAGCAAGCCAAAAAGGGTGGCAGAGAAAAGCAAATCATGTACTCAGAAGCACATGATCTGCAGTTCTCCAAATGTAAGGGTCACAGTGACACGCTGCAAAATAACCAAACATAACGTGAAAGAGAATAGAAAGCAAGAACATTTTCTGTTTTCACTGCCAGGTCTTTGTGCTCAAAGCTTCCTGGAGCTCCTGTGGCTGTGTCACCTGGCATTTGAGATTTACTCAGCCTGGAAAAGGTACTCGTACAGTTGTCATAATGACACGGCAGCCCGACTCCAGACCCCAGTAACCAAAATACTGGCTTGGCCCTGATTCCACCTAAATAAGTTGACGGCGGAGAACCGGTCCCACACTGGCCTTTGTCCATTGTGCAGTGCACAATAGATGCACACAAGCTGCCCTGCCACTGTGACACTTGCCAAATACTATGGAGAACAGATATGGGAACAAGCCAAAAAAAAAAAAAAAAGTCTTATCTTAGAGTTTACTTGATTAACCTGACAGCTGAATGAATACCCAGAGACATCAGTGAAGCCAGAGAGACCAGGGACGGGTGGCAATTACAGGACACCTTTACATTTTTTGCAGTTATTCTTGGCTATTGGGGGGAAAGCTCCTGATTTAATGAAGCCATCAGTCGAGTTTTATAAGACAGGAACCTAGCCACAGACGCTCCTGAAGCCACAATCTGCTGCTACAGCTGTTGCAATTAGCAAGACAGTGGGTAGGTACACATATCTGTACGGAAAGCACTGCCTACAGGTGCTGTTTGTTGATCCCCTTGGTTCCTGGGGAAGAGAAATGGATGAGACATGGAGTTTTCCCCCTATACTTCACAGGTGGGGAGCGCCCAGTTAGGTGAAGGCTGTTTTCATCATCAGCCAGAAACGATGGTGGCAACAAGGTTCATCCCCCCACCAAGATTGCACTAGTTTCCTTTTGTGATGGTGGAAGCACTGAGCACTGGAGACATCAGCTGTGGCTGCCTTCCCCAGGGGTAATGCCACCACCAACTGAACAACTACTGTAATACAAGAGTGTGTCTGTGCATGTTTCCTGAGGCAGGGCTGCTGCACCAACTGCACTTCAGTGCCTAAAGCCACCACATCTATGAACACATGCAAAAATTTTAATTTTAGATATTTTGGAAAAAAAAAAATAAAAAAAAAAACAAACCAAAAAACCACAACCCAAAGGTCTGATCCTCCAAACACATAGATAGGGACTCTGTCAGGAAGTGCAGTGACAGGACAAGGGGTAATGGTTTTAAATTGGTAGAGGGGAGATTTAGATTAGATATTAGCAAGAAATTCTTTGCTGTGAGGGTGGTGAGGGCTTGGCCCAGGTTGCCCAGAGAAGCTGTGGCTGCCCCATCCCTGGAGGGGTTCAAGGCCAGGCTGGATGGGGCTTTGAGCAACCTGCTCTAGTGGAAATGCCCCTGCCCATGGCAGGGGAGCTGGAACTTGATGATCTTTAAGATTCCTTCCAACTCTAACTGCTCTATGACTCTGTGATTCTGTATCTGTTAACTGCAAAATACTCTGCTACACAACTTAAGATGCTGTACTTCACTTGACAAAGGGGAGGCCTGCTTAAGAGTTAAATCACTTGCAACACAAGCTGGTCAGTCCCCTTGGCTCTGCTGCAGAATGGTACCTAATCCAGTCACTGAAACTGGGCTGCAGAACCATCCCCAAGTCCTCAGCAAGAGTCCCCAGCAGCACAGGGCCCACCACAGGAACAGAGCATCCATTTTCTGAGCAACAAGAGAGCAGATGGAGGAAGGATGCCCAATTTCCCCTCTTAAACACTCCAGATAAATCCGTCTCCATCATCTCTTTTCTGCTTCTAGGCGTGCAGTCCAACAGCTGGTCTGTTCATGTCCCATCTGATGTCACCGGTGAAGTTGGGAAGATGGTGATCCTGCCCTGCACTTTCACACACCCCTACAAAACGTTTGACCGGACCCTCACTGCCATTTGGAGGATCAAGGAACCTTACAACGGCACGGTGGTCTTCAAGTGTGTCAGCCAGAGCTCCAGCGAGCTCTGTAAGACTGCTGTCAGCTACAAAAACAAATACAAGCTGCTGGGCAACCCCCGGCACAAGGACCTTTCCATCAGGATTGACAACCTGACCTGGAGCGACAGCGAGAGATACTTCTGCCGGGTGGAGTTGTCTGGAGACATCCATGACAAGTACGAAAGCAGGAATGGGATAAAGCTGCATCTGATTGGTAAGAGGGCATGAGAGCCAAAGGGGGCAGAGCCATCCCGAAGGGAAGCGAAAGCCACAAGGTGGTAACAGAAGTTGACCTGAGATGTCTTCCCAAGGGTTGGCTTTTCCATTTCTGTGGATAATTTATAACATTTGGGCAGGGAATACTCATTCCCTTCTGGAGTCTTCCAGCATGAGGTGACATCCACAATGCAGTGAGGAGAATAGAAACAAAACTGGTAAGGAAAAAGCCAGGCTCTGGCTAGTGGGGTAAGAGCCAGCCAAGTCCTGGGCATCAATACTCATGACAAGAGGGTTAGACTAGATGACCTCTAAAGGGCCCTTCCAATCCAAAGTATGTGTTAGCAAATGTAAGCACAAGCAGGTCTGGATGGCCACAGGGTCTTGGGAAGACAAGATACCACCCAGCATTCATATGCCATAGGTCCAAGCTCCTCTGGAGACGGAAAAGTTTAGTACAAACAGACTGAAACACAGCTCTGATCAACAAATGTCCAACTTGTGTGGCTGGCAGTCTGTCAACATCTAAAACTCCTTGGGCTCACCTCACCATTGAGGTACACTTATGTCCATTAGAGGATACAAGGAGAAGCTTCACATCCTCTTGAAGGTTGTTACTGTCTCCAGCTTGGGCTGAAACACCATTTTGAATCCAGAGTAAAAAAACCCAGAGCTCTTACCCATATCTGGCTGAAAGCAGCATCTCCAGCTGCCATGGTCACACTTAGCTAAGCATACTCGATGTTGTCCCTGGGGAGAGCACACAGCCCCAGGCTCCACCACTCTTGGCCAAGGGATCACTTAGAAACCATGGGGGCAACAAGCACAAAGAAAAGCATCTTTGAGGCAACACTAGACAACAGTTGCACAAGAGGAGAAGTCCATCCAGAGGGTGGACATTGCGTGGAAGTGACATTTGGATCCCCAAACGAGCTTGGGACACATTGTGATGGAAGTTGGATGGATGTACTCATGGCATTGCTCCTTCCTGTGGAGCCCATAGACTAAACAGACACAGGGACAGAGAGAAACGCAGAGAGGTGACCCACACTGCAGCTAAATCTGAGTGGGGTTCAGCTCCCACTGAAGCCCACCCGCTGCTCATAGTACAGAGACTCCAGGCAAGAGCCCACCACAGCAGTGGGACTCACTTGCTCTGTCAGGTGAATTAGATGGGTGAAAAAACTTCTAGAGCTTCTCAGCACAGCAGAGAGACGGCAGAGCAATCAGAGGTGAATCTCCAGCACAGACCACACTGCCCTGGCTGTGGCCCTCCATGCCCAGGGTGGATGCTCCATCCCTGGAGGGGGAGCTGGAGGCCCTGGAGGCCAGGCTGGAGGGGGGGGCTTTGAGCAACCTGGTCTGGTGGGAGGTTTTCCTACCCAGGACAGGAGGTTGGAATTGAGTGATCTTTAATGTCTCTTCCAAACCATTTGGGTTACTAAATGAGGACACTCACGTAGTTCCTTCAAGTTTTGACAATGCCTTTAGGAACCAAATGCAATGGGGCCAACGGGTCAAAGAGAAGAGGACCAATGGCTTGGTCATAGCTTGGTCATAGCAGCTACACTTCCTTAGATTAGACCACAGATGACATGTTTAACAGCACCTCTCAACATTTTGGAGCCCTCAAACGATCTTTACCACTGTTCATGGTAAAGCACGATCCATGTGCTACAAACACAAGATACAATTAGTGGCCTTATCTTGGTATTGGCGTGCTACCCTAAAGCAACTGGGAACCTACCCCAGCTGTTGGATGGTCATTACAGGGTTGGAGGAAAACATCAAAAATTGGTTGAAGCAATGAGTGGAAACATTCCCTGTCAATAATCTGCCAAATCTGGCAAGTTTCTGGCACCAAACCCAGGGCTTGCACAGATTCCTCCATTTGTGCTCTAGAGGTCAGAGACCAAGGGAGTTTCCACAAGATGCCTGGAGAGCACCACGGTTGCCTTGTCCTGTGCAGATGCAGCCAGTCCAAAAAGGTCACCAAATGCACTTGTGCCACAGATAGAACTGGGCCATGACTCATGGTGCAACTGCAGAAAGCAACCCATCTGGAGCACCTCTGCTGTGAGGACAGGCTGAGAGAGTTGGGGGGGTTCAGCCTGGGGAAGAGAAGACTCTGGGGAAATCTTAGAGCCCCTTCCAGTCCCTCAGGGGGCTCCAGCAAAGCTGGGGAGGGACTCTGGATCAGGGAAGGGAGCCACAGGATGAGGAGGAACACTTTTAAACTGAGAGGGGAGATTGAGATGAGATCTCAGGAAAACATTTTTTCCTGTGAGGGTGGTGAGAGCCTGACCCAGGTTGCCCAGAGAAGCTGTGGCTGCCCCATCCCTGGAGGGGTTCAAGGCCAGGCTGGAGGGGGCTTGGAGCAACCTGGTCTGGTGGGAGGTGTCCCTGCCCAGGGCAGGGGGTTGGAACTCAATGATCTTTAATGTCACTTCCAACCCAAACAATTCTATGATTCTATGACCCTCACAGATGATTGCCCTCCTACAGCACAGTTCCTCTACCTTCTGCCATCTCAGAAGGTCACAGCAGCTGAAGTTGACTGAAACTCAGAAAACTGTGTAAAGGCATTAGAGGGATAAAACACAGAGTACACATCCTTGCGTTCAGGGCTTTGCTGGGCAAACACCTTTGCTCCTCGATCATGCAGTGTGGAGAAATCTAGGAAATGAAAACACTGAGATAAATGAGGGGGGTTTGATCCCAATGTGATATAACACACCAAGGGTCCACCGAGACCAAGAGCTCATTCCAAGTGTTTTGGGTTAAACCTGCCTTTGACAACTGACGCGCTTCCCCCTCCCTTGTTGTGGTTTCCACAGCTGCTCCCAGGATCATCAACATCACCGTCAGCTCCAACGGGGATCGCACCTTCCAGGCACGATGCACTGCCGAGGGGGAGCCAGTCCCTGCTCTGACCTGGACAGGACCTCCCTCCACCAACCTCACCTCCACCACCAGCATGAACCACCGCGTCACCAAGGAGCTCCGGTACCTGACCCAGGATGGAAAATACACCTGTACCGCCGTCAACAGCCACGGGAGAGCGGAGGGGGCTGTCTACTTCTATAAATTCAAAGCATCCAACAGCTCCTTCTTCCTCGTCCTGATCTTGGTGCCGCTGGGAATTAAAGTGCTCATTTTGCTGGTGATGGTGGGCTTCACCTTCTTCTCGAAGGGAGGTAGGTATCGCTGTTTCCCTCAGCCATCTTCCTCCATCAGACTGGTAACCAGCGATGGGAAGCGGCAGATAAAGTCAGCCAGGAGGGGGTAGTTGTGGTTTGGATTTTTTTTTTTTAATTATTATATGATTTTCCACCTTAGGAGGACACTTCTAATGGGAAAAATCTAACGGGTAGTAAGAGAGACCTCTTGGTTGGCTGGTCACAGCCTGCAGACGAGGTCTCCTTTGGGAAAGGATCTTTGAAAAGACAGAGGGAGGAGTTTCCCTGTGCCCAAGAAAAAAGGCCGATAAACTAACAGATGGGCACCTAGCAGAGAACCTGCTGCCTGCACAACTAGGTTTTTAATTATTTTTTTTTCTTGAGGCAGTCTAATTACTACCTCTTCCCCTGTAGCCCATGGGGACGATTTACCTGCATCCCATGCAACAGTTTAATCTCCTGAGGTTACAGACCATCCCTCTTGGTCCCCTGGGCATGATACCCAGGTTCTTCCCCATCATCAGTGAAATCCCACCTCCCAGACACACCACAGAATCACAGAATGATATGGGGTTGGAAAAGACCTCCGGAGATCATCTAGTCCAGCCCCTGCCAAAGCCAGTCCTCCTAGAGCAGGTTGCACAGGAACGTGTCCAGGCAGGGTTTGATTGTCTCCAGAGCAGGAGACTCCACCACCTCTCTGGGCAGCCTCTTCCAGGGCTCTGCCACCCTCAAAGGAAAGAAGTTCCTCCTCACGTTTAGATGGAACTTCCTACGTTCAAGTTTGTGTTTTTCCTGAGGAAAAACTTCCTTATGGTGAGGGTGGCAGAGCCCTGGAACAGGCTGCCCAGGGAGGTCATGGAGTCCCCTTCTCTGGAGATCTTCAAGACCCGCCTGGATGCAGTCCTGAGTGATGTGCTCTAGGAAATCCTGCTTTAGCAGGGGAGTTGGACTAGATGATCTCTAGAGGTCCCTTCCAACTCTGACAATTCCATGATTCCGTGATTCCATTACCTCTTGCCCTGTCCCTGGGCACCACTGAAAAAGGACTGGCCTCATCCTCCTGACACCCACCCTTCAAGTATTTATAGGCCTTGATCAGATCCCCCCTCAGCCTTCTCTTCTCCAGACCCAAAAGACTCAAGTCCCTCAGCCTTTCCTCATCAGAGAGATGCTCCAGGCCCCTCATCATCTTTGTAGCCCTCTGCTATACCCTCTCCAGCAGCTCCATGTCCTTCTTGAACTGGGGAGCCCAGAACTGGGCACAGTACGCCAAGGCCACAAGAGCAGGGAAACACCAGCTTGTAGGAGATGAGAACTGGCTCATGGACTGAGGGATGAGACTTCCCCAAGAAGCCCAGAGGCCACTGGCCCCGAGCCCACCGCATGGTGGCACAGGGAGGAGGGGACCAGGAGGGCCTCCAGGCTCTCATCCTGTCTTTCAGGCTGGATGAGATGTCACATCACCATGACTCATCTGTAGACACAGTCTGATGTCAACATCTCATCTTGCGAAAGGCACCACTTGCCTCAAACTGCAGAAGCAGTAAGACCAGAAGTAAGATCAGAAACTATTTGCTCCTTATAATCCAATGTGAAATTCCCACCCTCATGAAGGGGATCACACTCCTGACAAAAAGTCTCCTCCTCATTCACTGGCACGTCACCACCACCCTCCAGTGCAGCTCCCTGAAAGCTCTGTGTCAGTCCTGGCTCTGCAGCTCATTCCAGCCACATTGCTAACCCACATCTTCCTTCCCACTTCACAGGTCCCTCCTCTGCCCCTTCCAGCCTGGCCCGGTAAGGACGTCCTGCCTTCTACTCCTTATCCAGCAGGAGGGTGGAGATGTCTAAGGAGAGAAATGTAACATGTTCTTGGTCTTGGCAATAACCTTTGTGCCTGAAAACAGGCTCCTGGGGCAAGGACAGGGTTGGGCTGATGGACAGGCAAGCTGGTGTGAAGGACCAAGGCTTGGTCACTGCTGGGAGGAGGCTCTGGCTTGGGTAGAGCTAGGAAGAGACCCCACTGGTGTGAGGACACAGGTCTGGGGAAGCAGGTTGGAGAGACCATGGCATGGGGCAAGGGCCTAGCAGAAGTTTAGGTGGGCCATAGGCCCAGACCATGGTAGAAAGCCACATTAAGCTAGCAAAAGAACCATCTATCCAAGGGACTGGTGAGGGGAGCAGACGGGGATGGCACTTGCAGCAGGGTGATGAATGATGAATAAGAGAGGGAAACTTTGTGCAGCAGAAACTTTCACCCCCTCTGCACCCCAGTCTCTAATAGGGCACAAAAAGGGCCCATGTCAATGCTGATGAGCTTTGCAGAAGCGTATGGAGATGCCAAACAGGCCACCTCAGAGCCAGGGCCCAGTTCTTTGGCTGGCATCCATACCACACTCCCACAGTACACAAACTAAAAACCAAAAGCAACCCTTAGGCTAGGCCTGCAGAAGGTGCACCTGAGGTCAGTATTATTACATCTGCCTGGGAATACTGCCTTCCAGCCCGAGTTATCCCCATGGGATGTCTCCTTCCCCTACCTTAACCCAAGAAAGATGGCCATTTCAGCAGGACTGTCAGGTGTACACCATTAAGACACGAAGAGGCAATGGGGAATTTAATCCTGCAGGTACACTTGTAATAATTATTCGGAAAGGAACGGTTTTGCTGATTCAACAGTGTCCAAACCACACAGCACCCTTGACTGTATTTGCATAGATACATACTTATCTTGATGAAGCTTAAAATCCAAGATCCTCCATGCTCTACACAGAATCATAGAGTGCCTTGGGTTGGAAGGGACCTTAGACATCACCTAGTTCCAACCCCCTGCCCTGGGCAGGGACACCTCCCACCAGACCACGTTGCTCCAAGCCCCCTCCAACCTGGCCTTGAACCCCTCCAGGGATGGGGCAGCCACAGCTTCTCTGGGCAACCTGGGCCAGACTCTCACCACCCTCACAGCAAAGTTCTTCCCCCGATCTCATCTCAGTCTCCCCTCTTTCAGGTTAAAACCCTTCCCCCTCGTCCTATGGCTCCCCTCCCTGGTCAAGAGTCCCTTCCCAGCTTTCCTGGAGCCCCTTAAGGGACTGGAAGGGGCTCTAAGGTCTCCCTGGAGCCTTCTCTTCTTCAGGCTGAACCCCCCCAACTCTCTCAGCCTGTGAAATGAGAAGATCCTTCTCAGGAGAGGTTTGCCCAATCTCCTGAGGCTTCGAGCAGTGGGACAGTCGCAGGAGTTAATGCTAATGGTGTAAGAAATCATTCTAGATGCTTTAAGATGTAAAACATTAGTATTTAAGTGCCCGAGTTGCTTCTACCTGCTGCAGAGGGGTGGCTCCGTATCAGCCAGCAGCCACCCACACTCCTCAGCTCTTAGCTGAAGCCACTTAGGAAGTCCAGAGCCGCCAGAAATGTCTCTTCACCTCATTCCCTCCTTCCCCTGCCAGGCCACAGCTGCAAGACTCCACCTACGAGAACTTTGACCGCAGACTCGGCGGCAGCCAGACTCTGCCCACAGAAAGAAGAGCATCAAGACGCAGCTAAGGACCTGGGCGACCTCCTCCCCACCCGCTCCCACCTGCTCCAAACACACCTGCCTCCCCTGGTGAACATGAGACTGCCGCCCAGCGATGTGCAGAAGGTCAAACAGGCCTTGCAGGTCCATGTTTTCCACCTCTGATGCCACTTAGAAGCAAGACAAGCCTTTAAAAGGGAAGACTGAAGAAAGAAAAAAAGAAAACAGGGAGGGATGGATCTCGAAGAGCAGAAGAGGATCTACAGAAGACATCAATTCTCACCAACCTGTGTGCTTTTAGCCTATGTATCAGACAGCGCTTAGCAAGCAGGTAACACACTACCATTTCCTCACATCACCTCGCTTCGGCATTTTTCAAATATTACTTCAAAAAAGCAGTTTCCACTGCTCCGCTTGTGAAACCACACGCAGCTTCCCACAGCCAGCAGGTGAAGCACCTTCATGTTTCAAATACCAGCTGTAAAACAATTGCTACTGGAATTTCTGCAGGGGGATTTGTTATTATTATTATTATTATTATTATTATTGTTATTATTATTCCTTAACTTCCAGAAGAGTTTATTTAGAAGTTTTAAAAAAAAAAATCCTAACTTTCAAGAGGAGTCTAAGCAAAAAGGAGAAGAGGTTTTCTGAAGGCTGGTAGAGCTGGAAGCAAGACACAGGAAGAGCAGTCCATACTGTAACTCCACTGCAGGTCCTCCTGCTTACGTGCACAGACAAGCAGAATCTCAGAACTTCGTGATAAATATGCTGTGAAAACGTTTCAATAAACTAAATTGGCTTTTTTTCTTAAAAAAAAGAAAAAGAAAATTATTTCTAAACACTTTCCAATCTCTGTGTTACATGAAACAGTTTGTCTGAGGTGAGGTCAGTGCCACAAAGTCACCGACCATCCACAGACAAGTCCCTAACCCAACTGTGAACATGGTCCAACGCCAGGGGAACAGACCCAGCTGATGGTACAGGATGATGCAAGTCAACCTGGAGTCTTGGTCAGGCAAAGGCCCAGGACAGGGCTGTGAAGAGCGGCGGGTTGGCACAGAGGAGGAGGAGGAAGAGGAATGAAAAAAGGAGGAGTGACACGAACCTACTTTCAGGCTTGTACCACTGGATTCGATGCTCTGTGCAATCACTCCAGTGCAGGAGCCCCAAAAACTCTTCTCCTAATGATCCTGCTTCTGCTGGCAACCACCACTGGCCAGGAGCCCGAGCTGCTTCTGAGCTACCATCAAGCTTGTGATCCTGCTTGCAAACCTCGTCCCCAGCCTGGGAATTACTGCTTTGAAGTCCACTTCTTTGTAACATCTGTGCTGGGAAAGTGAAAGTGCAACTTTAAATGACATGGTCTGAATAACAAAGATTAAAAAAAAAAGAAAGAAAAAAACATCTCCAACCAAATTGTTATTAACACTGAAATCTACAACACAAATCTCAGTTTTCCTTCCGAGATTACCTGGTTACATTTACAATGTGACCAAGGACACTGCAGATCAGGGCAGGAGAAAAACCAGAAGAAACAAAAAATCCATCTGTTGGGCAGCATTCAGAGTGAGACCCCAAATTCTGGAGTTCACATTTGTGACAGAGAACTGCCAGTGGATCTCTTGGTTCATAATCCAGGCGTTTGAGGAAAGGACAAGTCCAGAATTCTACCAGCACTGAGCTCTCCAAGAAGTCAGGAGATTGGTTTGTTGGTGACACGTACAGCAAGAGCTGTAGCTCATGGTCAATCTTCCTCACTTCGTAGGACCTACGAAGTTCAGAGAGTACTTTAACCACGATAAAACAAATCATTTTCATCACAATTATTAAATTGAGAAATGGGGGTAAAAAAAAATGCAGTCAACAGCACAATTTCTATGAGATCTTAAGCAGTAAGTTATTAAAGAAGCTGTTTCAATGGTCAAGACAAATGGATGTGATGATGGGTGTCCATGGTGCTTGCTGACAGCAGTGACCCCAGCCTGGTCCAGCCCTGCCCACCAGCAAAGCCCTCAGCAAGAATGTTGCACCACCAGCACCAGAGGCACAATTTTCCCCTATTTCCCTCCACGCCACCAGCTGTCCCCTCATTTGGGATAAATATGGAATTCCACAGCCTGGGTGAGCTCTGAGAGCTGCAAGAACAGAACCAGTGCACCACCCTATGGTCACACAGCCACAGGTGCTCCGGGGATTTTTCCAGGACAGAGAAGCATTATTTCTGACATTATATATAGATGAGATTTCTCCTGGTCTCTGGGCACAAAAAAACCCCAGGCTGTTGTATCACATACATGTTAAACCCAGGATGTCAAAGAGAAGAGTCTCCAGGCCACCATCAGCTGAGCAGTTGCATGGCATTCCCCCACCGTACTTTCATCTCCAAGAACAATTATGTATTACCTGATGTGGATCGCTCCAGCAAGCGGAAAATAACCATGACGTCTGTCACAAATTACTTGATTTTTTCATTTTTATTTCGCATGGTCTTTGCAGACATAGCATGTTATAAATACAACAATTGTAAAAACTCAACAGCTGTAACAATATCTCATTTTAAAAGTGCATGTCAAACACACGTATTTCTGGCTTCACATTTTTATGCAACTGATCGACAACATCGAATCTAATAAACCCAGTGCTTTTAAGTCTTTGAGGGGAGGGAAGGGGGAGGAGGAAGCCAGCAGAATGTATTCTTCCAGGCGTGAATTTTCCAAAAGAGTCTGCTAAAAAACATGCTGCATCGATATCTGGCTAATATACAGAGGGATGTACGTATATGTGTGTATATATGTATATGTATATACATTCATAGGCTCAAAGAGAGAGCAAAGAACGCTAAGATCACAGATTAAGATGAAGGTGATCTAACGACCCAGCTGGCTTAATTAGCAGAATCTGTTGAGAAGAGAAAAGGTGATTTTTTTCTCCAGCACCTGGACCACAGTCAAGAGCAACACTTTCAAAGCGTTATTGACCAGACAGTAGGTAGCACGTTTCCTTCCCCTAGTGACCAGAACCAATGTTTTACCGTGTAACCACGTTCTAAACATGAAGGCACAATTAATGCAGGAAGAGAAAAAGCAATTATTGTTCCTTCATGGAAGTGCAGGGATTGGGACTGCAGGACCTTGGGCCATCTCAGATAGATCAGTGATAAAAGGGACGTCAGACAAGCAACCGGGCAAAAAAAAAAACAAACCCTCACCTTCTGCTTTCCCTGAACAAAAGTGCATCTTATGATCAGACAAGGCAACAAAAGCAGTGATCGTTCAGCAGAAACAACACATTTACAGGCTCATGGTTCATGCTTTGGCAACAGAATTTTAACAAGCGATCACCAAATTTAATACAAGAAAAATACCTTTTTCACAGTGTCATCTAAAGTAAATTTCATGCCCCGCTAGGCAGAAAAGAATAAACTTAACAAATGGACACCCACCACTTAAGTCAGTGTTTCCTAAACCACCAAACTTGCAGAATTAAGGAATCTTATCTAACACGAACGTAACTGACTGCTCCCCTCCCAGGCACTGGGCATCTAGAAATTCCCACTCTGGATTTAAATCACCTGACCTAAAAAGAACTTGGCTAGAAATTACTTGCATTTAATCAAGCAATATGGATGCATACTCTAAATATTAGTATTTAGAAAACAGGAAAAAAAAATCAAAGTTCTTTAGTTTAAATTTTAGTTCATATTTACAGAAGTGGGAGAAGATTGTAGACATGCCTTTCAACATGAGAGTTTTGTGGGATAGGAAAAAAAAAAAAAAAGTCAAAATATAAAATAACATCTTTCCAGGTACAAGGATTTCACAAGTCTCCAGACACACACTCACATAAGATTCAGAGATATCCTGGTTAAGAAAATCAAAACATCTTTTATACACGATCCCCTACACACTCTGAACTGGCCTGAGCAATGACATGTTGGAAAATAAAAAAGGCACAAAGCAAAAAACTGAAGATGCTACAGGATGAGTTTTGCTATCTCATGATTTGTACATCTGTTCTCAGGTACCCTCCTCTCTGATGTGCACCATACACAGGAATATATTCAAGTGCTTTCAGTCAACAACAATAACAAAAAAAATCTAAGCAATTCTAGAGGCCTACGAATCAAAAGAAAAGAAAGAAAACCTCAAAGAGGAGAAGAATTTGCCGATGTGCAATCCCCATTTACATTTGTGACTTAAAGTGGAAGTCTGAAAGGTAAAAATTACTTGTGCAATAACAACATTAAATGTAAACCAGAGTAACCAACGTTGCGTGACGCTGCGCGCTCAGAGCTGCTATCGGATGCTGTCCAAATAATGCACTTCTGGGTACAGAGTGTTAATTAGGAGAGCCAGGAGATTATTGCCGTCTCGAAGACAGTGTTCTGGGTGCCTGATGAACTGGGAAGCCTGGGAGAGCTGCTCTTGGTAATCCATGTATTGTTTGTTTGATGCCATAGATTCAAGAGCATTCAGTGCCTGCAGACACAAGGGGGAAACTCCGTGAGCCGTGTGGAGTTCTGCCCACAACAAACCAGGTCACGAGACACCACATGCACAGTTCTGCTAGAAGATCCTGATCTACCGGAGAACACGGAGCGTTCGGAACAAAGCATTTGTCAAACACAATCACATAACAGTGTTTCAAGTCAACACATTTTTCAAGCTGTTCTCTCCCCTAGATCAACACAGCAACTGCTCTATCAAGGCCTGCTAGGATTCTGTAACCCAAATACTGTCAAATATTTACTTCATGAACTCAGGAGACGTGGTTTCAAGGAAGTTGCACTGAGTAACAAACTGCAGTACGCTTAACTATTCCTTTCAGGTTGATCTTATGAACACCTTGACTTTCCTAAAAGTATTATTTTGCTCCCATAAGCAACATTACAGAGACAATGTCAAGTTAGAAATTATATGTAAAAGAGCCTATGCTCTTTTTTATAGAACCAGCCAGGGCAAATGCTGGAATTATGTCCGAACAAGTTTCATTCACTTCTTAGAGAATCACGGAATCACAGAATTGTCAGAGCTGGAAGGGACCTCTAGAGATCACCTGGTCCAACTCCCCTGCTGAAGCAGGGTTGCCCAAAGCACAACACTCAGGACTGCATCCAGGCAGGTCTTGAAGATCTCCAGAGAAGGGGACTCCACGACCTCCCT